AATGTGTATCCTTCTTCTTTTTCCTATATAAATGTGCTTGTGTTGTAAAAATGAAAAGCAGATGAACACAGCAGCCAGTGGCAGTCTGTTGTCAGACCTAGTATTCATAGGCTGTAGAATAACACAGGTGTGTAGCCTGTCATAGGTTTATGGTTTGCCACCATCTTTGCCAGTCACATTATTGTAATATTCACATCAAAAGCACAGCATTGCATTTGGGGGACTCTGATAATCAATAAAATGGAAATGATATAAGTTACTTATTCTTTCTGTGTGGCCCCGTGCCAAATGACCCACGGACCAGTCCGTATCCCGGTGGTTAGGGGGCCGCTGTTCTGAGCTACGGTAGCTGTCATATTTGTCCTCGCTGCGCAAAGGCTTTTGTCATATGGAAGTGGGCAGTGATTAATCCCGCACACACAGTTGACGATATGACAATTTTACAATTGCTCTTTAAACAGTCAGCGTCTGGCAAGTCTCTGGTGCACAGGAAGTGAAGGTTTTTTTTCCATTTCTGGCAGCAACAACAGTGGTTTGTTTGGAATAGATATAGAAAGGCTGAGCAGTGCTGTCTACCACCTACACACAATCAAAACACAAAGACTTTACAGTCCTGCCAACACTGTTTCATTGACAAATGATCCCTGAGAGATGCCATGCAAAAACCACGGCAGCAATGAGCACAATAAGCATTGGCAACACGTGCAAAACCTGAATGACAAATTTGTATGATATTCATTAAAAGGTTTCAGTTCACCATCCCATATATTACCTGATTCACCACTGATTCACCACTTTCAGCTTTGTTCTCTGCTGTCATTTGTTCGCCTATTTCACACGAGTGTGACTGTCACGCTGAATGAAAGCTAATTTCGTGGGGTTTGTCTAAACTGAGATTAGGCTGAATGAAATTTTAATTCACTTTTTCTAGTTTTTGTTTTGGCATAATGTGAAAGTCTAATTATTCTTTGTGGATATTCCAGAAGTCCCCGGAGAAAAAAATAGTCTGTCCCTCTTTTGAATCTCCTCACAGTAAGAGAATGCAGTGGAGGGTAGAAATGCGAGAGCAGTGAGCCGTTCAGCACAGGTCACTTGTGTCTATTCCCTCTGAGGCAGGTGTGTGCGTGTGTGTGTGTGTGTGTGTGTTAGGCTTCTCTACTCTGCACATGGATGTACAGCCAGTGAAGCATGGTAAAAGTGAATACACACACACACACACACCGTGCAAACCGATTTCCCTGCTTGGTATATTCTCAATGTCAGGAGATCTTAGCCTATGATTAGTGTTGCATCGACAGAGCTTTTTCCTTGTGCGCTTGGATATTAAATCCAATCCATGTTCATCAGGATCATGCAACCTGATTTGGGGCTCCACTCATGTGCGATACAAGTTCGAGGAAATCAATATCCTGATTGCATAGGCTGGGAATGCCTCAGGCAGGCACGTCCAGTTTATTTCCATACGTTACATAAACCCAGTTGTACGTAGAGCGTGTGCATGCGTGTGTGTGTGTGCGTGTGTGTGTGTGTGTGTGTGTGTGTGTGTGCTTGTTTGGAGTGAGAGCCATAGGGAAGGTTGCTCTGAGGTCCCATGTTGTATGTGTTGCAGTATGCATTTGTACGTCTGAAGTGCGTGTGTCACAGTAAGTATATTGTCCCCATCACCCCTAAAGTGGATTCTTATAGCGTGGGCTCTGCAGGTGTGCAGGTTTTAGCTAATGCAAAATAGAGGAGCGATTACTCCCCAGCAGAGACAAGAGGAACGGCTCCGTCAATAATCAAAAGACAACAGAGATAGAATTATGGAGTTATTAGAGAAGAGAGAAACAATCATTTCATGCTCAGCATGGCGGTAAACACTTCCGCTCTCCTCTATTGCACACAATGCAGTCTCTGAGAAACCATTCACACATATGTTGCATCGTGTTCATCTGTATATCTTTCATAAAAAAAGAAACTTGCACGATAAAAACATTCTGTCATTGAAATATTAAATCTTATGTATTGTAGCAAAAAGATTAACATTTTGAAAAATACAATAGCTTGGTTTCCTGCCGAGAGTTAGATGAGAAGTCTGTGTGTTACTGGGATATATTGAGCGGGAGTCAAGAGTCGATTAGCTTAGCTTAGCATAAAGACTGGAAGCAGGGGGAAACAGCTAGCTCTTTCCAAGGTTAAAAAAAATACACTTATCTAAATCGTATAAAGGTGTAAAGCTGTAGCCAACACTTACAAGTCACCCAAAGTTGAATATGATTAGACGTGAATTAAGTTTTTGTGGTGTTTCTCTACCTGAAACATATCTCTTTACTCGTTACTACAAAGGTCGGTTGCATGGTAAAGTTCCCACCTCCAGAGTTTTCCAGGGAGCAAATGCAGCCGTAGGTTTTTTGTGAGCTGCCCTGTGTATGTTTGCCGTCTTAATGAAACTCATTGCAAGCAAGTGAAAAGAGGCAGTTGGCAGTACCCTGTGTCATGGAGGTCAACCGTAGAGTTAGCAGTAACAAGCAGTATATAGCAGTATAATTGCCATTATACACAAATTTGTAAAGCACCACATACAATATGGGGACATTTAATGTTTCCATTACCGCATTAATATCCCCTATTTCACCTTAATTTAATGTTAGTTGAATTAGTGTAATTATTCAAAAGCAGAATATCCCACTAAATAGTAGATACTATCTTGCACAAATATGTCATGAAGTTGAATATAGAAGTGCTTCAACACTTTCAAAGTGATCCGTCACGATTATACGACTTAACCGTGGTACAGTACATCCATTGCACTTGTAATGTAGTAGTATTCACACTAGCAATTCCTATATGATCAATAACCTCCATATCACTGTATCATTTGCCGTGTACTACGGGAAGTACAGACAAGGAGTGAGACGGTTCAGATAACATTTAGGTCAGCTATCTGATAGACTGTATGTCCTGTAAATAGCAGTGCGACCTCATATGTTGCGTAAAATCTGTTGGGATATTTAGACAGACTACATGATGGGATGGATGAGAACTTTGAGTTTTACACACACACACACACACACACACACTCCCGTGTGAACCTCTACATTTCACTTACAGTGAACTTTAAAGCAGCGAGCAAGCTAGCCTCTGCCTAAGCTAACAGGATTTGATATATTTATACATTTCCCTGTTCTTGTTTGGATGACTCATCCATCAGTGGGTGTCCTGTGCCTTGATCTCCTTCCAGAATTTTTCTTTCATTTATCTTTTTTTGTTTTACTTTGAGCTGCATTATTTTCCCTCCTCATCTCCAATTCTCTCTCTTCTGTGTTCTTTTAATTAATTTATTGATTTTCATATTTCAAGAATTGTCTTTTTCTTTAATTCCCGTCCAACACCCTCACGTCCTCACTGTCGCCCTTGTTTACGTCTTCAGTCCAGTCTGATGATGATTGGGAGAGATGAAGCTTAGCCAGACAGACGGTAACAAGGGCAGGAATACTGTATTAGTACAAACAGAGGCTTGTTCCAGGTTATTACATTATATTCTCTGGATCTGGGTCCATTTGTCACTTGAGTCCCTGTTAAGGTAGCAAGGTGGCCTCATCGTGCACGCAGCCATCCTTAGGCCAGAGGAGCCATGATGTCGGCAAGCATCTTGCTTGCTTAAGTGTCCTTGAGCAAGATACCGAATTATTTGTTGCAATGAGGCTCTTATCTTTTTGTTTTTCTCTTCCCCCATTCGGCAGGGAGCCTGCCCTCCCGAGAGCAGGGCAAAGAGAAAAGAGGATTCCTCTGCAGGAATTAATAAAGTATCACATTACTGTCAAAGGTTCTCAGTGGGCTATTTTTACACATCAAATATGAAGATATTAGAGCCCGACTAACACATGGATATGACTGATAATATCAGTGTCATATAAGGACGTCGTGTCAGTTTTCCCTGGGTACACGCGTACAGTCTCTTTTGAAAATATACTCCCAATGGAGGTTTACTTAGTTGTTAGGTTTACTTGCTTATTAAAGGTACTTGTTTAGGTTAAGGCAACAAAAGTACTATAGATTTAAATGTTAAAATAAGTAAGTTTCTTCCCTAAGATAACTACATTTGTTAAATAACTGGTGTTTGCAAAGTACATACATTACGTAACATGACTATGATAAATTGACTTTCACACGAGACATACAGCGGCCTCCTGGGTGAAAGTCCTGTGTTTGTTTGACCTGTCCATCCTGTAGCCCCCCCTCCCAACCAAAGCGGGCTTTCTCTCTCTTTATACTACATCAATTGGTTTGACAGTCTAATAATGATGCCGATAGCTTTACATTGCACTCTAAAGGACGCCTTGGTGTGTCAATACCACGCAATAAACAAGCTGCGGTTCATTGATGGGTTGAGAGTGATGTGGGATATGTTGGCCACTAAATAACAAAAAAAAACAGCTGTAATGGAAAGCAATACTTTGTTCCAAAGAAAGGAAGGTCTGTTGGGTGGTTGCTCAGCCCACCACCTTGGTTCAGCCTGAAATATCTTATCAACTATTGGATGGATTACCATTACATTCTTCACAGAGATTCATGGTCCTCTGAGGATGAAGTGAAGTGATTTTAGCTCTTGTGCTACCAGCAGGTCAAACCTTGAACATATCCAATGAAATATCTCACGCTATCTGCTGAATATATTGGCACATCATTTTTGGCAGACATGCATGGTTCCCAGATGATGTATCCCAATGTTTTTGGTGAACCCCTAGCTTTCCTTCTAGCGCACCACAACGTTGGCATTTGTGGTTGGGAGTGAAATGTCTCAAGAATTATCGGATGGATTACAGTACATTTTTGTTCCCCTCAGGATGAACAGTAAGTTCAGTGATCCTCTGACTTATCATTTAGCACCAACATTAGATACAAATTCAATGTCCAAGCCTATGATTTTACACCTGCAAACCTAATAACATTCCCATCAGGCTCAGCGGCACATTGTGTCGTTGCTAACTCTTTTTTTCTGTGTCCGTCTCCTTCTGCAGAAATTCGATGACTTCATCTTTGCGTTCTTTGCCATTGAGATGGTCATCAAGATGGTGGCTCTGGGGATTTTTGGCAAGAAGTGTTACCTCGGAGACACGTGGAACCGCTTGGACTTCTTCATAGTGGTGGCTGGGTGAGTTACGCAGTCACAGGCACAAACACATGCACACAAACACGCAGGTGGCCGAGCGTAACCAATGCGTAAACACAGGAGGCTTGCACAAGAAGCAGCACACACGCAAGACTTTTGAGTAGTTATCAAACTGCAAGTCGGCATTTGAAAACGCAGGGACAGATTCATGAAGGACAGAAACTAGTAGATGCTTTGCGTAATCGTCATCAGATTCCAACAAGCTGCGTGGTTTTCTTTGCTTGCTGCCCCCCCGAGCAGATCAAACAACACTGGATTTGAAGCATGAACCTGTTAGAACCAGTCCCCTAAGTGACACCAGGCTTCTTCCCTGTGCGCTCCACTGGGTTTGTCTTCAAATGAATTCACCCCCCGAATGTCCTGTAAAAGCCCTTTTAAATAAAAATGTGTTGCAAGTAGCCTCTTGAATTGTTAACTGCTCAGAATCTGTCAAATAGCTGAGTGAGGGTGTGAATGTTTTCTTTTAAACTCGTTCACATTTCTTCCTTTTACACGGCATAACTCTACTACACTTGCAGATTGCATGCACAAATCCAGGCACACAATGCGCACTCAGGCGCATCCGTACAGATGCATGTTAACAGACATACGATATGCATGCGATCTACGAACACAGTGGGCATAGAAGCTCACACAGTGACACACACACACACACACACACACACACACACACACACACACACACAAACACACATTGATGCACACACTGTAATTTGATTAAACATGTTGCGGAATGTAGCCTGCTGGTTTTGGTCTGACATTTTCATCACACTGCATCCCCTGCTGGTTTTTAATGTCATCCTTCTGCCACAGCTTCTGTTGTCCATCAGTGGGAACATGGCACATCTCCTTCTGTGTGTGTGTGTGTGTGTGTGCGCGTGTGTGTGCGTGTAAGACTGTGTGTGCATGACAAATCATGTCCTTCAGCAGCAGAGAGGAGATACATTCCACCTACTTACTACCTACCGCTGCCTTCGTCTTTTCTGCGACGGCATCCCCGAGCTTCCTCCTCAGCCCTCATTCATGTTAATTCCTCCAGGCTCTTTATTAAACCTGCGTCACACGTCTGAGTGGAAATCTTTTTGGGATCGTAGACAGTGAAAGCTGCTTCCCTGTTGGCCGTCGCCGCTCAGGGAACAACTGATCCAGAAGGAACAAGATGGGAAATACCTTAATGTCTGATAATCATGGCACTAATCCAGTGAGTCATAAGAAGGCCAATAAAGGGAGCCTCTAATTAAAACTACAGCGTCGGGGCAATGAGAGCAGGTGTAATGTCATTACAGCTATGCTGAAGACTATTAAATATTCTACTTTGTTGCCTACGGATGAAACTATAATGTGCTGGTGGGGAAGAAACTGGGTCATTGTTGCAGTGCAGGATAGAATATGCATGAAGAATCGGCAATAGACGAAATATATCTGAATGGAATTTCATCATAAAACATTATGGCAACAGAACAAACCCACCCGTTTTATGCATTGCAACATTAGCTCAGAGGTAAAAGTTTTACTTGGAATGTCTTTCTCAAAAACTAAGCATGGTTAATGAGTACATTAACAACTCCAAAGATGTGGGTTTCTTTTAATTGCAATATACTATTTCATAATTTAACTCAAATGTTGACTGTAGTCGTCTACATTCTGAGTGAATATCACATCTAGGGCTGCAGCTAACAACATTTCCCATCTCTCAGCCAATACCACCAACAGTTACAATCTCCCAGAGCTCAACTCAGATTTATATAGATAGTTAGTTTTACTATTATTGGATAGTTGACATTATTGATAGAGCTGCAGGCCCAATTTCTGCACTGGATGCCCTCTCTTGGTTCACATTCACGCGTACAAAACCAATGTCCTAATGTAAGCTACTAATCAGTCACACGTAAACTGGGCTCACTTTAAGAGACTGAGAGATGTGGTGTCGTCGTGGATGTCCACTCTTTCATCCGCAGCCAAACCGAACACCGGCGCATTCTGACTCAGTCTGTCGGATGTGTTCATTATCCGTCATTTGCAGTAACGCGCCTCTCGAACAGGCAGAAGCAAGTCTTTAATCCTGGAAGTGATGGTGTGTCTATGCGGGAGTCCATCCAACAGAACCTCTGCGCTGTTGAGGAAAGCCTCCTTCTGTTCTCCGTCTGTGAACGATTTCACGCTTTAAGCGGTGTGCTCTGCAGTGTCAAAGCTACTCTCTATAGCTTCATTTTTTTTATATGCTGCTCTGTTTGTCATATTTTTTGACACCCCACCTTTTAATCAACTCATCTCTTTGAACTTTAAAATGATGCTTTACGCTTGACGTTTGACACACCACATATTCTCAGCAAGATGCAAATACAACACGGGCTCCTCTTGCAATGAATCCAAACTCCGTCGTCTGACCGGGTTGTAAAGGCCGGCTGGATTTGCTCGTCACGTCATATGCAAATCGCTGCGGTACGGCCTCGTCTTTGCCGTAGAGATTGCTTGAAAACGTCACCCGGGCTGTTGTACGGCAAGCTTGGTGACTGTTTGTGCTTTCGTTTGCAAGCTCGACGGTAAACTTTACACAGTTAATTCAAGACAAACATGTTTGTGCTGAAACAAATCCGTGCAGTATGAACACAGTGCGAGTGTGTGTGTGTGTGTGTGTGTGTGTGTGTGTGTGTGTAGATGTTAATATGGTGTTTACGGGTTGCAGAAACAAAAAAAGGATGTCATCTGTACGGAGAGTCCCCAGCCGCAAGGAGACAACGGTAACCTAGGTAACGGTTGGTTGTCGAGTGTTTGGTACATCACATGCAACAGTTGTTAAGTCCTCGGAGGAAGGCTCTGATGAACTGTTTATTTCTTTCCGAGAGGATAATTACAGCTAAGTTGCTTTTTCAGCAGGTCTTGGCTCTCTCTCTCCTCCTAATCACCTCACTGTCAGGGGGGGGGGGGGGGGGGGGGGGGGGGGGGGGGG